TTCTTTTTGATTTTTAATGTAGAATAACTTTACACATACGATGATCTTCAGCTACAGAACGCAGCCCGCTTTTGAAGAGTGCTTCAACTAATGCTCTCTTTGTGTAACTCCGACCTTTCCTACTCGCATACATACTCAACATTTGCGCACATTGATCGTCAACTGATCCATTATTTTCAGCTATAATTTTTTGGATGTCGCGTTGATCCATTCCAAATTCTCTTGCCAAAGTTTTCCACTCCGTTCCGATATCTTTTGCGATTTTGCTGTTATACTTCTTGGCTGCTACAATAATTTTATTTTATTTGCAAAAATAGGATCAGCGGCTACTTACGGTACATCATATGAAACAGTTAATAGAAAATTGAATGTAGCAAGAATGAACGATTCTCTCTACACTAAATCAAGAATATTCCTCTTTCTAAGTTGCAATTGTTGAAAGCGCTTGCTATACAAACCAATTAAATGACTCCATCTTACAAATCAGGCAAGTCGCTGCTATTGTAGTATGCGATAGATTTTACTGTATTGTCACTTAAAATAGTAAAAAAATGTTAGCCATAGTACAACTTACAAGAATCAGGTTCGTCCATTTCTATCTCAACAGTTTCATTAGAATCGACAGAGACTTCAAATCGAATTCCGGGTGCACAACTAGCATTGAGTTTCTCAGTTTCGTCTGATTCTTGTTCTAGAGTTGAATCGACATTACAAAGATACAGTATCATCAGCCATTAAAGAAACCAAAGTACTGTATAATCTCATTCGCTACTATGCATGCAAGCGCTCAACATTTCTATAAAGTATTATAACATCGTTAAACGTTAAAAGTACGTACTCTTTTGGCTTAAATGATTGTAATATAGTGTGATTTACTTAACTCAATGTTGTTATACTAACTGCAAGCTATTCTCTTTAAAAATACAGAGTGTGAGAACTTATTGAAAAATATACTTTAATTCAAAGAAGACTATTACAAAACACATTTTACTGAACAGAATTTGGCTTTTTACGCTTTGGTAGTACTTGTAACGATCAAACTTCAAACGATTGCAGACGGTCATATTTAANAATAAATAAATCATTTGCAGAAAATTGTAAAATAGCGATAGCAAAATGAGACTACTGAAAAACGGATGATTGTAAAGAAATATTTCAGTTTACTCTGAAAGATTGCAGCAAATCTCGTATTGCAAAGTACCTGCACTGTAGGTGAAAATGACGAAATTTTTAAACGTACGGAATGTTGTTACACAAGCTTTGTCAATTTACAGTTATCTAAGTTTTAAAAATATCGACATATGTTTACAATGACTGACAGAGTATGTACAGTTGAAGGGGATAATGGCCAATAAAAGTACTTACTTATGCACGTTATACTGTGTTGCGCCTTAAAGTGTGTGCATTTCGAAAAGATTCTAGTTACTATATCGTAAGTTAGAGAAGTAGTCTTGCTTACTAAAGGTAAACTTCACTTCCTGTAAGTCATATAATACTAAATAATGATATCTTGCTATCTAATCTTTATTAAAAAAAACTACTGACTAAGTCATTAGCTAATTGATTCATCAGTGTTGGTAAATGATGTAATTAACTAGAGAAAAGATGGTACTCTTTTCAACTTATTGAATAAGCTATTTAGTATACAGTTAGATCCAAGCATCATTGTAGCCTACTGAAAATATACTGTTACTAATTTTGGTGTAAAATTATGCATTATGTATAGGTAAAGAAGTGATTTTATAAACGCTTTCTTGAAAAGCCAGTAGTAAAGATAAATGAGATGCGACGATCGATTTAGCATATGTATACTGTGTAGTGCCAGGCTTATTAGCCCTACGCAAAACTACTGCATTTTAGCTGAAAGCACTGCAATGTGATAATCCTTTGCGATTTTTCGTTGTATCAGTAAAAAATCTTCGTTAGCGATCAGTTTGGGTAATTTTGATAAGGTTCAGCAGTAAATAGTTGTTGTCGATTCTACAGCCTAGATGCAATCTCGTTTCTATTGCAATAAAATTACTAACTTCATTGAACTCTATATGATTTTAATTTGTAATAGCATCACTGTGCGATAAAGCGTCTAACTTTAAGCAAAGACTTCCGTATCTTGAGAATAAATTACAGCTTCCACCAAGGACCAGATTAGCTACGACTAACTTAACTTCGAAGACGAAATCTCCCGCTTATATGTACATTTGGTTGCAAAGTATCATCAGGATACAGAATTCAACATCTATCTTAGTTAGTCTAGGATTTCGTTACTTGCGTATGTTAAGGTGTTAAGGTTACCTAATACAGCATCTCTAATAACTACTGCAACCTATACTTTTTCTAGTCTTAGTTTTGTAATCGCGTAGAGTTTAGAATGTAAATTACGCGTAAAGGGACGTATCATTCTCACAATTACCATTACGGATGCTTGTATTTAAATAGTATAGTATTCAAGTATTTGGCAAAGTTGTTTGCTCAGAGCTCGTGGTTGAGCGTGAACGATTAGTAAATTGAAATTCTCTTCAGAGATTATAAGTCCTGCATGGCCAGGCAATAACTTAGGATTTACGTGCATTGCGTTATTCTTAGCTCGCGGCTATGGGCAGTTTAGTGAATAGAGAAATAAAGCATTACTATACTTAACCGAAGATTACCAAGTTGTTGTGAGTCAGTAGGTCGAATATATCAGCTATCCGACAGTCGGAGTACCTTGTGAGTTAATCCCAGCTCCATCTCATCACGATATACCAAACCGTAACAATATTATAACTACTAGCACGAATACTCATACAACCTTAGAATCAATGTTTAAGTTATATTGGGGCTGTAATACTCACTACTACTACAATAGGTTTGTTATTGAACGATTTTTACGATCTATTAGATCTTAATAGACTAATAGACCGACTTAGAATTGAACAGGGTTGAAACACCTAACCTTTAAGAAATACTTGTTGTACAAGTTGTTTACCGACTACAATACTTCAGTATGGTGTTGTATTGTGATGTTAGCGCTGTCGTTATAATCAAAAGCAGAATATCGAAAGCAAATAACTTATCAAACACCTTACAAAAGCATTGATAAAGCGTCATCATACTTGCCTTGATCGCTATAAACACTTGCAATGTTGTTATATGTTGTAGTAATACTTGGATGATTGTCGCCAAGTTGTGTTTGTCGAATCTTGAGTGATTTGTTATACATAGATACAGCGTCATCATGCTTGCCTTGATCATCATAGACACGACCCATGTTGTTATATGTTATAGCAATACTTGGATGATTGTCGCCAAGTTGTGTCAGTTTAATCTTGAGTGACTTGTTATACATTGATAGAGCGTCATCATACTTGCCTTGACGATTATAGACACGACCAATGTTGTTATATGTATTAGCAATACTTGGATGATTGTCGCCAAGTTGTGTTTGTGTAATCTTGAGTGATTTGTTATACATTGATAGAGCGTCATCATACTTGCCTTGACGATTATAGACACGACCAATGTTGTTATATGTATTAGCAATACTTGGATGATTGTCGCCAAGTTGTGTCAGATTAATCTTGAGTGACTTGTTATACATTGATAGAGCGTCGTCGTACTTGCCTTGATCTTTATAGACACGACCAATGTTGTTATATGTATTAGCAATACTTGGATGATTGTCGCCAAGTTGTGTTAGTTCCATCTTGAGTGACTTGTTATACATTGATAGAGCGTCATCATACTTGCCTTGATGATGATAGACAAGACCAATGTTGTTATATGTATCAGCAATACTTGGATGATTGTCGCCAAGTTGTGTCAGTTTAATCTTGAGTGACTTGTTATACATTGATAGAGCGTCATCATACTTGCCTTGATCATCATAGACACAACCAATGTTGTGATATGTATCAGCAATACTTGGATGATTGTCGCCAAGTTGTGTCAGTTTAATCTTGAGTGACTTGTTATACATTGATAGAGCGTCATCATACTTGCCTTGATGATGATAGACACTTGCAATGTTGTGATATATATAAGCAATACTTGGATGATTGTCGCCAAGTTGTGTCAGGTTAATCTTGAGTGACTTGTTATACATTGATAGAGCGTCATCATACTTGCCTTGATCATCATAGACACTTGCAATGTTGCAATATGTATCAGCAATACTTGGATGATTGTCGCCAAGTTGTGTCAGTTTAATCTTGAGTGACTTGTTATACATTGATAGAGCGTCATCATACTTGCCTTGATCTTTATAGACACGACCAATGTTGTTATATGTTGTAGCAATACTTGGATGATTGTCGCCAAGTTGTGTCAGTTTAATCTTGAGTGACTTGTTATACATTGATAGAGCGTCATCATACTTGCCTTGATTATCATAGACATTTGCAATGTTGTTATATGTATCAGCAATACTTGGATGATTATCACCAAGTTGTGTCAGTTTAATCTTGAGTGACTTGTTATACATTGATAGAGCGTCATCATACTTGCCTTGACGATGATAGACAAGACCAATGTTGTTATATGTATCAGCAATACTTGGATGATTGTCGCCAAGTTGTGTCAGTTTAATCTTGAGTGACTTGTTATACATTGATAGAGCGTCATCATACTTGCCTTGATGATAATAGACAAGACCAATGTTGTTATATGTATCAGCAATACTTGGATGATTATCACCAAGTTGTGTCAGTTTAATCTTGAGTGACTTGTTATACATTGATAGAGCGCCATCATACTTGCCTTGATTAGCATAGACTTGTCCAATGCTGTTATATAATACAGCAATACTTGGATCATTATTTTTAAGAATTTTCAGTTTAATCCTTAATGATTTATTGTATTCTTTTAATGCCTCGTCATGCTTGCCTTGATTGTGGTAGACCAAGCCGATGTTATGATAGGACTCACTGACATCAAGATGTTCACTCCCTAACGATTTTAATTTTATTTGAAGTGATTTGTTGTAATCACGCAAAGCACCCATAAAATCACCTTGAAGTCGTTTACAGTCGCCCTGGATATCGAAACAATAAGAAATCTTGACCTCTTCTAGTTTCTCAGCTAACTTTTCTGCTTTTCCACTGTATTCATTGGCTTCTATCAATTGATATTTTTGCCGGTAAGATTGAGCCATAGCGAGATAAATAGAATATTCAAGTTGACGACGACTATCACTACTCTCCGCTATCGATTTGATTTGAGTTACAGCTTTCTGAAAATAAAATAACGCGTCTTCATAATTGCCTTCGCCATGATATTTCACGCCCTTTTTGCGTATAGATTTAATCTCGTCAAATATCGTAGAATTGCTCGTCTGATTGGCCATATTTTACTTTTCAACAACAATCAAAATATATAATTTGAGAAAAATAGTCACAATTTGTCTACTCGATAGGGTTAACAATTTTGATCGCTGTACAAATGAGTGATAAAATACGTAAAGAGCACACTATAATGGATGCTCGATGCTTTCAAATCAAGATCAGCATTACAAAGTCTATTTCAGTTAGGAACGTGCCCTAATTAGCCAAATCGGATACGCCTTTATTTGTTAGCGGTTTACAATCATTCATCCATTATTCTCTTACAATTCATCAGGATGATGGAGAAGAAATAAATTAAAGTGGGCAGGCTTTCTTGTCGATACTTCTTTCTATCCGTTTTTCTAATATATCAATCATCTAAGTCAATCATCATTATAATAATAATTATAAAACGCATCATTAGCACAACACTAGCATCAAAATGACTCAAATGTTGAGCCTACACGTAGAATAAGTTCAAGATTAGCATGAACATGAATAGAATAGGAACATGACAATAGCTTCCACGCATACCAATAACGATTGAATTAACATTGATTGGATAATAATTTTGCATCATTAAATTGATTGATGAATACAAAATTGCTTGATGACTAATTAAACTAAAGCTAATGTATAAATCACCTGCATAGCACATGACACTTACGGTACTTACACGAGGATAAACTAGTATTCTATTAAATGTGTCAATTTTATATAAGATACTAAGATAGACTATTTTATTGCAGGTTTATTTTTAATCTTATATAATGCCATGCATATAAGAGGTGGTCTGTATTATTTCAATTTACGATTTAAGTGATTCGTACTCAATTCACCATACAAAATCCAAATAGCACAAATCATACAAGTAAAGCCT